AGAGTTACTGTAAGTTCACTTTCTGTACTTTCTAACATGTCAAACTTTCTCTTTCTGCTTGGACAGAGGACTTGAAGGGATACTAGGTAAATTTGCTCATGGCACTAAGTTGGGTGTAACTGTTGATTTCCTTGAAGGCAGAGAGGCCCTGCAGAGAGACCTTGAGTAGTTGGAGAGATGGGCAGTCACCAGCTAGCTGTATAAAGTTCAACGAAGACAAATGCTGGATTCTTCACCTGGTATAGGCCACCTGAATATATGGACAGATTGGGGAATGAGAGGCTGCAAAGCAGTGCTGCAGAAAGGGACCTGGGAGGGCTAGTCAGTGGCAAGCTGAACATGAGCCAGCAGTGCCCTGGCAGCCAGGAGGGCCAAGCGTGTCCTGGGGGGCATCAGGGCCAGCATCTCCAGCTGGGCAAGGGAGATCATTGTCCTGCTCTGCTCTGCTCTGCTCTGCTCTGCTCTGCTCTGGGGTAGCCTCAGCTTGAGTGTGAGGGGCAGCTTTGGGTGCTACAGTATAAGAAAGACACTGAGCTATTAGAGAACATTAAAAGGAAGGCCACAAGGATCATCAACAGTCTCGAAGGCAAGCTGTATGAGGAGCTCACTTGGTCTGTTCAGGCTGGTAAGGAGGAGGCTGAGGAGAGATCTCATCACAATCTACAATTCCCTTGTGAGGAGAAGAGGAGAGACAGGCACTGATGTCTATGGTGCCCAGTGACAGGACTTGGTAAATGGCATGAATGTGAGTCAGGGGAGGTTTAGGTTGGAGATTAGAAAAAGGTTTTTCACCCAGAGGGAGGTTGGGCACTGGAACAGGCTCCCCAGGGAAATGGTCACAGCATCAAGCCTGACAGAGTTTAAGAAGTGTTTGGACAATGCTCTCAAGCCCATGGTATAATTATTAGGATGTCCTGTACAGGCCCAGGAGTTGGACTAGATGACTCTGATGTGTCCCTTCCAGCTCAGGAAATTCTATTTTTCTACAGTTTCATGCTAAAACATTGATTTCACCAGCCAAACCAACCAAGTCTGAGAGATTTTAGCTTGTTCAGGTTCGCTATAGAGACTCCTTGTGCATCTTAAGTGAGTGTTGCTGTCTATAGTAAACACTATGTTCCTCACTGTGGAATATTTTTTTTCTAACTGTACATGACTCTAATCAGTCTATGAATAACATTTTTGGTTTTGTCTCCTTGTCCTGTTTCTGGTTGCCTCTGTGCTAACTGAAACTCTGATTTATCAGTTCAGTTGGTGTAAACTGGAATCAAACCATTATCTAATTATGATAGAGAAAGAACACGAAGACTGACAAGAGAATCTCCAAACACTTTGATTTTAAAATGTTATTTTTACTGTTTCAATTTTATCTTTTTTAACTCTTATTTTTAATTAATACAGAAAATATTCAAAAGTAGACATGTAAGTATTTTCAAGCCTTTCAAAATGCAGACTTCAAGTCAAACGTGCACATATTTGCAGTATAAAAATGTTTAGTTAAATTTCACATGATTGAAGACTATGCACTTCTACATTGAACAACTTCACTGACTTTTTTGAAACAGATGATTCTTTTGGACATATAATAGTTCTCAGGCAGTGAAAAAACTGACCTGAATTTCACATGATACATACAGTTTTGATGTACTAGTGTGATACATCATAATTGCATGAGATTTTTCTATGTTAACAGAGATACTTACAGCCAACATATCGGTGTATTCTAAGTCCACGAGTGTCTTGGGTGACTTTATGATGCTTGTATCCCCAGTTCTGCTTATGCTGGATATTGAGTTCTCTGCTTTTAAGACTAGACCTGAGAAGGGTTCATGGGTTGAGATCCAGATTATATCCATCATCAAATACCATCACAGGCAAAACAGGATCTATTTAGGCATACAAAGTGAATTTATTTCTAACAAGACCAGAGCAGGATAAGGAGAAGTAAAACAAGCCCCTGAAACCACCTTCCCCCCACCCCTCCCTCCTTTTCAGCTCAGCAAGGAGACATGGAGTGGGGGTCATGATCAGTTCACCTCCCGTGGCTTCTCCTGCTGCTCAGGAAGAGGAGTCACTCCATTGCTGCACCACTGGTCCCCTCCCACAGGAGACACTTCTCTGTGAACTTCTCTGATCTGGCTCCATCTCATGAGCAGCAGCTCCCTGCTGCAGTGTGAGCCCACAGGGACAGTCCCAGGGGCAGTTGTCCTCCCCAGATTGCTGCAGCACAGGTCACTCTTCCACTCAGTGTAGGTTTTCCAAGCAAGGCAAACACCCTGGTTCAGAAGCCAGCACGGTGGACCCCCTTCTCCACTCGGACCACCCTACCCACAAGACATCAATGTGATGGATGGCGAAGCAATGGCGTTTATTGCAGGGGAATTTAACATTTTATAGCCTGGGGTCACTGTGTTACTCCCATCTGCTTACATCACACCTAGGTGCTATTGGCTAATTGCAGAAGGTTTTACTATCCTAACAGAGAGGGGGGTCTGCTAACTTTCTGTTACATCCCGGTGTCTTCCACTCCGCTATACTCTAGACTACAACATATTCCCCCCTTTCAATGAATAACTAATTTGTTAAAATATAAGGTATATTAGTCTTAAAAATTCTAATGTTATTTTTTATATACATATTTCTAAACACTTTGTCTAACTTATCTATATTATAAAAGTTTTAAAAATGGGTAATATAAAATTGAGTAAAATATCAAATACTTAACTAAAAAGCTAAAAGCTTATAAAATGGATACTACAGTTTTCATTAGTAAATATGAGGCACAAGCGGTGACTAAGTATATTTTTAAAGCATCTGTTACCTTTCTATAAACAAAATGTTAACTTTTTCTAGTCGGCTTTTAACAAAGGACACAAGCTTATTTAAAACACACGGTCCAAAGATTAGCACGAGTAAAATCATCACAACTGGTCCAATCAGGGTAGACAGCAGGGTGGTTAGCCACGGAGATTGGTTAAACCAGGACTGGAGCCAGCTTTGCTGAGCTTCTCTCTCTGCCTTTCGTTGAGACAGCCTGTCTCGTAGCCCTGCCATGGTGTCTCTCACTACTCTGGTGTGGTCAGCGTAAAAGCAGCACTCTTCTTTCAGGGCGATGCAGAGGCCTCCTTGCTGCATGAACAGAAGGTCAAGACCTCGCCTGTTCTGCAAAACAACTTCAGAGAGTGAGGAGACTGATTTTTCTAGAAAGGATATGGATTTCTCAGTTCTCTGTAGATCTTCATCTACAGTCATCTGTAGCTGA